AAGTAGGTGCTTTAGACCACTGAGCCATCTCACCAGCCCCAAAAAATGGAATAAGGACTTTTTTTTTTTGCTCCTTGAATGCCTTCAGGGCACTTTTGCATGGCTGGAGGGTTGTGGGGATCGAACTAGAACAAGCTGAGGCTGAGAGCTTTGTGGAAGCAGCCACTTAAAGAACTGAGCTAGAGCCAGGCCCCCGCTTCTGTTTTTAAATATAAGTTATTTAAAATAAAATAGAGCTAAGAATGTAACTCAGTGGTAGAGTGCTTGCCTAGTATATTTGAGGGCCTGGGTTTGATCCCCAGCACAGCAAGAGAGAGAGAGAGAAAGAAAAAAGAAAAGGAAAGAAGAAAGAAAGAAAAAGAAAGAAAGAAAGAAAGAAAAAAGAAAGAAAAGAGACATTAGTTAATTAAAATAAAATACATTTGGTTTCACATTTACAGTCCCTCTCCGCCCAGCTTGGGTCAAGTCAATGCCAGGAGCTGCTCTTTTTCCAGGGGCCCTATGTAGCCTCACTGTCTCTACCTGTGGCTTGAGAAGCCAGCCCAGGCCCTGGGTAGGTGACGGCTCACTGCCTGTGCACCTGGGCAGCTGTATGTGTGTGTATGCGCCACCCCCCAAGAGGACCCACAGGTGCCCATGCTGTGGTCATGGTTTCCTCAGACAAGGACAAGGTGTTCCTTCATCTCTGGCACATCAAAGTGAGCCTTGTCCTCAGGGGAGCTGTGACATGGTGGCTTCCACCTTTGGCACCTCTGCTTTAGCCCACAGCATGGGTTTGGCTGTGGAGTAGGGTAAGGGTGTCACATGGGCCTTGGGGCTGGGGGCAGCTCTCTGGGCCCAGGTTCTGGTGCAGGAGCCTCTCCCACCTCCATAGAAAGTTCTAGAACTTGTGCCCTCATGCGCTTTGTGTGGGGGGGACCATGTCCCCTGCTCTGTCCCCAGCTAGTAGTTGTTGTGTGACTGAGTCATCAGCGGACATAGCATGACTTTAGGAACTGTGCTCAGTCAGCCTGGAGTCCCCCTTTCCCAGGTCCTCTTCCATCCTCCAGGCCTGCCTTTGGTGCCTCTCCTCTGTCTGCTCATGCTGTGCCTTCACCCTCCTCCTGTCATCAGAGTCCAAGCCGTCCTGCCGGCTCCCCACAAGGCCTGGCCTGCTTCTCCCCACACTGTCTTGGTTCCCCTCTCTGCACCCCCCTCTTGGCCTGTTATGGGGATACCCCTCCCTGGCGAGCCTGTCTCATAAGTCAGCACTTTGTGTGCTAATGCCTGCAACAGATACAGAGAAACTGTTGCAGGACGGGTGAGGTTCTTGCCTTTTAGGACAGACAAAGGAACTGAGGCTCAAAGTGCCTGAGACCTGCCCAAGGGCACATGGTAGAGTGGAGACAGGCTTTGAGCTCTGGTGCTGAGGCTCCAAACAAGAGCTGTTACCCCCACTCCTGTACTCCTCACCCCCACAGAGCCGTGGGGCAGGAGACCAGGGCCCCCCAGATCCTTGGGTTGGGGGAGGTGGCACTGCCTGCCTGGGCCTGTGGGGCTGAGCCCTCAGCTTTGGACTCCTCCATTGCAGGGCGTCACTGAGGGCTACAACGGCACCATCTTTGCCTACGGCCAGACGGGCAGTGGGAAATCCTTCACCATGCAGGGCCTGCCAGACCCGCCCTGCCAGCGGGGCATCATCCCCAGGGCCTTTGAGCACGTGTTTGAGAGCGTCCAGGTATGTGCCCCACAGAGGGAAGGGCAGGGCTAGAGTCACGGGTGCACTGGCCCCCAAGGCACTTCTGACTTTGGGCCTGGACTGTAGGACACAGTCAAAGCCTGGCCTTGACTTGGCAACAGTGAGTGGGCAGTGGGTGTGGGTTCTTGGAAAGGTGATGGGAAAAAATTTTAAAACTCAGACAATCCTGCCCACCAGTTGCGTGTTCTTCTCCTGCTGTTTTCAGAGAAAACGTTTAATGTTTCTACACATTTAGCATTTCCATGCATGTAGAACTCCAAGCAGGGCACGAGAGGCGGTGGCCTGTCACGACTCCTGTTGTATGAAGCAGTTGCCCAGGCCTTAAGCAGTCTGAGTCTAACGTGCAGCCCTTTGCATAATTATCTCACTGGGCCCAGGACTGTGGAGGCTGCTGGGGAACCGTGAGGGGCCTGGGAAGCTGCCAAGCATCAGCCCAGAGCTGGGCTTGGTCCAGGTTTTACCTGTGACTGCAGTTTCTCCACCTGAGGCCTCTACTTCATTTCCCATGAGGCCTGTATACAGAGCGTTAGACATAGAGCTAAGTGAAAATATGCAACTTAGGCCTGAGGATCTACCAAGCTCCAGGGGAAGGAAGTTTTCCAGAACAGGCTGAGTGAGGAAGAAGTGGGGAGTGTGTGGCTCCGATGCCACCACCCCCGTGATGTCCTCACGATGGGGGTCTCAGGCCTGGCAACGGCTGGGCTTGGCACCAGATACCTCCGCGTGCTCCACCCTCTCTCCACAGTGTGCAGAAGACACCAAGTTTCTGGTCCGGGCCTCGTACCTAGAGATCTACAATGAAGATGTCCGTGACCTGCTGGGGGCTGACACCAAACAGAAGCTGGAGGTGGGTGCAGGCCTGGTGTGGGTGTGTGGCACTGGCAGGGGAGGCCAGCGTCAGGTGGCTTCCCTGAGAAATGCAGGGAGAGCATCCCGGGGCACGGCACAGACCACAGGGGTTCTTGGGAAGTTGAATTGGAGTCTCTCATGCCAGAGAGGCTGGATGGGCCTCCTTGTCAACAGCCTGTTGGACCTCTCTCTTTTTTAAAAATTTTATTTATTTATTTATGTGTGTGTGTGTGTGTGTGTGTGTGTGTGGCCAGCTCAGCCCACCAGGGGGCGGGCGGGCTGGCATGTGGTGCTGGGGGATTGAACCGCGGTCCCTGTGCTTTGCTAAGCTTGTTCTAAATAGATGCTTTAGACCACTGAGCCATCTCACCAGCCCATGGACCTCTTTCTTGTCATTGCTATCCCTGTCTTTTGAGACATTGAGTTTTGTGATCAATTTTATTTGGAAAAAAAGGTGTCTCTTGTAACAACTTGGTGTGAAAATCCTCAATGACTCTTGAGGATAAAACAAGATTAATGATATCATTGGCTAAGTACTTAGGGTTTTCTGGCTGGCTTAGGCACATTCTTCCAATCAATACTTAGAGTTAAAATGACTGAGTAGGTACAGTATTGCCATCACCAATTTGCCAACGTGGAAGGGGGGTTTTGAGAAGCTCCTTGACTTGTCTGAATTTTGCACCATAGCAAGTGGCCACACCTGGATTGGAATCCAGATCAGTCTGACTCAGGCTCCTGGGTCTCAGGCATCTTGTACTGCTGGTGATGGACTCAGATCCTGGGACCTTGTTCCTTTTGAAAAGAGGACTAGCAATCTAGGAGAAGGCCTCATGAGACTTGTGGGGGGTCAAAGGGGAAAATGAGGTGAGTGGCTGAGCAGAGTGCTGGCTCCTGCCGGGTGCATGCTGTGTGAGCTGTTTCCTGCCACTGGGATTCAGAGAAAGGACAGCGCTCATGACAGGGGCCACCAAGTGGAGCCCTCAGGAGATGGAGCTCACAGCAAAGGTTAGGGCTGGTGCAGTCAGGCAGTGAGCCTTAATGTATTTCCTAAATTTCCCAACCTCCTAAAAGACTCAGGATGAGAGAATATCATTCCACAGCAATAGGCAGTAGAGTTAGGCACCCAAGGGCTCCGTCTAGTCAGTCAGAGCCACACTGACCCTGCAGGGAGCCCAGAGAGGCCAAGAGGGCCGCAAGGACTGGGCGTCCATGGAATGGCGGGGCTGGTCTCAGGTCTGGGACTCTTTCACCTTCACCTGAGTGAGAGGTCCTGATCTCATCTCACTAGGGCTCTTTAAATGCTGGATGGAGCTTGTGTGGTCCACGGAGGGGAGAGGTCTGTGGGGGACAGCGACCCAGATCTGTGGCCAGAAATCACCCCCCAAAGTTCCCCACCCCTGCAGATCTGGTGTTGCTTATCTAAGGCTTTCCCCCAGACAGGGCAATGAAAGGCAGTAATCTCAGAGCCAAGAGAGGGAGGGATGGACGCGGATTGATTTAGTCATTCATTACAGTCTTACTGGAAGACCTTGTGGATGCCAGGGCACGGGTGCCAGGCCTCATACTGTGCCAGACCCACTGGAGTGAGCCCTTTTATTCCATTCCTGTTCTGGGCCCCACCCAGACCCGGAACCATAGGTCCCTCCTCCCCCCGCAGCTGGCTTGGTGCAGAGAGCGAGGCTCTACCCTCCCTGCGCCTAAACCCCACCACCCACCTGGAGTCTTGCTACATTTTCTCTCACCCGAGCAGCTGAGTCATGGCTCAGCCTCAGCCAGGGAAATGGAGAAGAAGCAAGCCAGGGCGTTGTCCCCGTTGGCACCTGAAGAGGCCCAGCTGTGGGGCTGGCTTCCCTTGCCTGCTTGCACATCTTCTACCAAGCTGCACTGGAGCAGCCGGTACCTTCCTTCCCTCCCATGCTGCCCTGGGCCTGGAAGATCTTGGCTGTGCTGGCCTTGTACTGTCTGCAGCTGGGCCTGGGGGCATGCTGATGACAAGCCCTTGGGAGGGAAGCACACCATGGGCCCGTCAGGCCTTTTCACCACAAGTGCCATGCAGCAGCTCTCCTGTAAGTCTCCCTGCAGCTGCAGAGGAAGCAGTGCTCTCACCCTTCAAAAGGATTGGTCCCCAAGGCTCCGTGGACCTAGGTGGGGCCCCACCCAAGGGCACCTGCAGGGGAGATGGACTGGAAGCCAGGGACCAGGTTGCACAGTTACCGGGGATAACTCTTAACCTGAACAGACTTCCCATGAGGCCTGGGACATGTTACAGTGAGAAGCTATGTGGCCAGCAAAGGCCAGTGGAGATTTTTGGGATGCGGAATTAGAACCACTCCCCAGTCACCACACATACATATTCCATAGATTTGTGGAATCTAGCGCTGACCACGCAGTGGTCTCCCCTGATACCACATCTGGCTGAGGTGATAGGGCCTGCCCCCTGCACGGACCCAGGCCTGAGCCCTGGTCACGTCCCTGCTCCTGTGCCAGCCTGCGCCCCTCTCCATCTCTGCTGCATCTCAGCTGGTTGCCATGGCAACCGGTTCTGGCCTCTGACGGCCAAGAAGAGCAGTTTCCCAGGAATACCCTGCGCAGCTGTCGGCCATTCACTCAGTGCCTGCCCCGGGCTTGGGGTGTGGTGGGAGCAGGAGCTGTGCAGAGGGGACCCCTGAGGATATTGGAAGGTGGGGGTGGGGGACAAGTCTTCCCAGGCTTCAAAATAGAGACTTCTTTGGTGAGAGGTTGTGTGCTGGGCTGCTTAGGCCCGAGGCTCTCTATGACCTGTGTCCTAACAGTGCATTTTATAGATCCAGTTCCTCCCTGACCCTTGGAGCAGTTTTGTAGAAAGTAGCCCCATCCCCATTTCACAGGTGAAGGAATGAAGGCCTAGCAAGCCAAGATGGCCAGCAAGTGACTAGTCAGGTTTCTGCCAAGCTCATAGGACTGAATGGGAAACCAGGCCACTGGTTCTTCCTCAGCCACGCCCCCTGGCTCCCTGCACTGGGTGGAGCCCTGGGCTCTGGAGTCCCGCCGCTCTATGTCCGGGGGCCCCTGCTTCTGTCCTTTATGCCCATCCTCACTGCCACTTCCTGTGTGTAGATCAGCCCTTTGTCAGCCTTCCAGGAAGTTGAGGCCAAAGAACTGCAAGCTTGAGGCCCACCTATGCATCTTAGTGATTTCATGAGACCCTGTCTGTCACAAGGGCAGAGGGTATAGCTCAGTGTGAAGGTCCTGAGTGCGTTCTCCATGCCACAGACAGATGGAAGGTCAGCCCAAGGTCACTTCAAGCTGCAGCTCCTGCAGGGTGCCCAGAAAGATTCCCACCCTCCATGGTTCCTCAGCTTGCCAAGCCAATCAGTCCCTGCAGCCACTGTGCTCAGCCTCTCTTTCCCCTGTCCCTCAGTGCTCCACCACTGGGGACCTCACTAAGAGCTGTGTGGCCTTCAGCAGATGACTTAACCTGTCTGAGCCTCAGTTGCTCCTCTGTTCCTCTGAGACCATCCCAGCCAGATTGGGCCACCACTGCACTTCACACTTGAGCAGACAGGAGTCGCCTGTGCTTCGTCCTCTGTGAAGTACCTTGCCTGGGGCGGGGGGATGCTGCTGGAACCCCTGAAGGTGCCCACAGCTGCCATCGAGGCTTCTGGGGCTCCAACCAGAGAGCTGTTCAGTTGAGCAATGCCTGCTGTCTTAGTTCATTCTACTCTTGCCAAAGTGGTTTCATTTCCTCTCTCGCTTGAAAAATACCATGTTTCACAGCTCTCAGCAACAAAACAACTCAGCTGCCTGCAAAGCAAGCAGGGAGCTCTTGGATGTGTTCATTTATTGCTGCCATTGCATGGGGGCCATCCTGATCCTTGTGCAAGCTCTGGGTAGCCTGCACCTGCCACAGTCTAGGGACCTAGGGACATGCTGTTGCCTGGGGAACAGCAGAGAGACCATCAGGACAAAGGCGGCAGCACTCAGAGCCACCGGTGACTGTAGGGTCAGCCCCAGCAAGAGGCTGGAGTCCCCAGACTGCAGCCACCTTTGCAGCCAGGGTGCGAACAGTGACAATACATTATGGGACACGCATCACCCACCAGGCGCCACGCTAAGTATGTGGGTGCCTAATTTTACTGAAGCCTCACCGTATTCCCTATGAGATAGGCATTGCACACCCATTTTACAGATGAGGCTCGGGTTAAGTCACCTGCCCAAGGGCCCACAAGGAGGAAGCAGGTATTGGTTTGCAGCTGGCTGCATCTGGAGTGAACCCCTGGCTGCTAGAGGGTATTTGAGGTGCTCACCTGCACTGCAGGAGGTTGGGGTGGTCAAGATCGGGCCCTCTGCTCCAGTTCCTGGGAATCCCTGATCCTGCCCTCTTAGATGCAGAAAGCCCTACCCCAGCGAACTCTCCCCGTCCCCCGCAGCTGAAGGAGCACCCTGAGAAAGGCGTGTATGTGAAGGGGCTCTCCATGCACACGGTGCATAGCGTGGGTCAGTGCGAGCACATCATGGAGACAGGCTGGAAGAACCGAGCGGTGGGCTACACCCTGATGAACAAGGACTCCTCGCGCTCCCACTCCATCTTCACCATCAGCATCGAGATCTACGCTGTGGGTACGAGGGCTGGAGGGCGGGCTGCAGAAGCCGAGCGAGGTCCGTGCTGCTAGCTGAGGGCTCTGTGGGAAACTGCGAAGCGATGCCCCAGCTGCTGGATGAGGCCAGTGAGGGTCCTCCCCAGGCTGGGACCTGTGCTTCCTGCATAAACAACAGCGACAGTGCCAGCCAACCCTGGACGCCTCCAGGGGGCCATGCCATTTATGCACCTATCTCCTCTGTTCCTCCCATGAGCTAGTTTATAACATCCCCCTCATTTTGCAGATGAGAAAATCGAGGTCTCATGGCCAAAGTGACAGAGCCGGGCCTCTGCTCCAGGGTGTGATTCACTTAGAATTTTTGGCCCCTGTCTCCGTAATGTTCTCTGTTCCTCAGTCATCTGTTCTTCCTTCTTTCTGGAAGAGCTGCTGAGAAAGAGAAGCAGGAGGAAAGGTATTTCTTCTGGGCAGCCATAGGACGGATGCAGTGCTAAGCACTTTCTACACCTCATTTTATGTAAACCCTCCCCAGCCCCGGAAGTGGGCGCTGTGGGGTTTTTTGCATTTCACAGGTGAGGAAACAGAGGTCCGGAGAAGTGAAGCAATTTGCACGTTCAAGGGCCCACAACTGCTAAGTTAGAGTCGGGATTCGAACCCAGGTCTCCCAGACAGCTGGGTTTTCTCACCAACGCTGCAGCTACCTCCAAGTTTGTGGTTCATACAGAGTAGAACTCTAAAGAGCAGTGGAGCAGGAAGCAGCCCCAGCCCAACTAGGAGCGTTGTCCCTGAGAGAGCCCTACCTTGGGGATGGCGTGGCCAGGGGAACCTCTCCCCACCCTGCCCTGTCTGCTGGAGGCCTGGCCACAGAGCAGTGCTCTGGCGCTTCCTGAATCAGGAGGGATGAGATCAGTGTGGTGACAGCCTCCTGGGACACTGCTGGCGAGGAGCAGAGAGGGACTCTGGTCACTGGGTGGGGGAGCAGGGAGGAAGAGAGACAGTTGGTGGGGTGAGCCTTGGGCTTCGCAGGGCCCTCGAAGGTGGTGCTGATACCGAAACAGCGAATAATAACACGTAAGCCTGTGTTCTTTTGATCCTTTTTCCTTTATGAAAATTTGAAGCACAGTTGAACTCTTAGACTCTACATGGTTCTTTCCTTGAGTTTTATCTTCCGGGCCACCCCCTAAGCCCTTGCCCACGTGATCATCTCTGTGTCTTCATGACTGTGTGATGGCCAAAGGTGAGTCGGCTGCCCAGACCCTTGACGGGGGGCTAAAGTTGTTTCTGATTTTTCAGTGCTTTAAATAATGCTGTGATGAACGTCTTTGTGTGCAAAAGCTTTTGTGCTTAGTCCTTTCCCTGGGTTAGATTCCGTACACACAAAAGGTATAAGCATGTTTGAGGCACTTGGTACGTCCTGGTACTGGGGATTGAACCCAGGGCCTTTGAACTGAGCTAACATCCCCAGCCTTTTTTTGTTTTTTTGTTTTTAAGACAGCTTCACTAAGCAGTCCTCCTGCCTTGGCCTCCCAGAGTCCTGGGGTGACTGGTGTGCACCACCTCACCCAGCTCATTGGATAGTTCTGCAAGTGGCTTCCAGGAGTGGTCCCATATACCTCCCTTGTTTTCCATAAGCATGCGGAGCCAAGCCCCTCACATGTCTGTCTCTAGCAGCCAGACTTTCTTTCCCTCCTTCTGGTTGCTGCTTGTGGGGAACTAAACCTGCAGCTCACCGGGGAAGGGTGAGCTTAGTGCCGTGGGTGAAGCCGCTTCCCCGAGTTGCGCAGGCTCCGAGGGTGGCCCAGATGGGCTGTTCTGAGCCCTGCACTCCTGTCCAGTGCCCAGCTCCGCATTTCCCTCGCCATCCAGGTCCACCCTGGAGGCCCAGCCCCTGGCTGCACAAGAGCTGGGTTCGTTCCCAGGGAAGCGGGCACCTGCTGTGTGCCGGGCAGGCAGAGCATGGAGGGCTGTGCTGCCAGCTCGCTCTACGCCTCCCAACAGCCGGCCCAGGTGGGCAGTCCTTGCTACTCTCACTTTGTGCGATCAGAGTGATGCCTGGTTCTGCTAATGTCACACAGCAAGGAGGAGGCAGCACTTCCTGTGAACCAGGTCTGCGGGTCTGCAAATCTCTGTCTTGTGCAAGAAGCAACCTAGCTCCCCCTGATCCAGCTGCTTCCTCCCTTCCTCCACCCTCAGGCTCACAGGAAGTCTGTAGAATCTGTGGTGGCGGCCAGAAAGACTCCCGCTGCCTTTTTCCAAATAGTCTGTGACTCCCAGCTCCTGCTTCCTGGAGTCAGAGAGCCCAGGTTCTGATCTTAGCTCCACTTCTTGGCAACTGTGTGACCTTGAGCAAGATAGATTCCTTTTCTGAGCCTCAGTTTTCTCACCTGTAAAATGGGCCCAGTAGTAGCTTCTTCTCCTTGGGACTCCTATTCAGCCAGCTTGAGCACTCAGCAGGTGGCGCCTCTCAGGGCTCAATGGTGAACTCCCCTCTTCCCTGAGGGGTTCACCCAGGGCCCTCACACCCTGCCCGGTTGTCTACAGATGAGCGGGGCAAGGACCACCTGCGAGCAGGCAAGCTGAACCTAGTCGACCTGGCGGGCAGCGAGCGGCAATCCAAGACGGGAGCCTCTGGGGAGCGGCTCAAGGAGGCCACCAAGATCAATCTGTCGCTGTCAGCGCTGGGCAATGTCATCTCTGCCCTGGTGGACGGGCGCTGCAGGCACATCCCTTACCGGGACTCCAAGCTGACGCGGCTGCTGCAGGACTCCCTGGGCGGCAACACCAAGACACTGATGGTAGCCTGCTTGTCCCCTGCCGACAACAATTACGACGAGACCCTCAGCACGCTGCGCTACGCCAACCGAGCCAAGAACATCAAGAACAAGCCTCGCATCAACGAGGACCCCAAGGACGCCCTCCTTCGCGAGTACCAAGAGGAGATCAAGAAGCTGCGGACCATCCTGGCGCAGCAGCTGAGCCCCGGGGGCCTGTCAGGTGCCTGCTGGGCGGGGACGGTGGGGAGGGCACCGTTCCTGGAGGCGCGTCCTTTGCACTCAGGGGGCCCAGCTGGTGTTGTCCACTGGTGTCTTCCTGTCCATGGTCCCAGGAAGGGGCCAGCACATCTGGCCATCCTGTCAGTGGCAAGCTGGGCACCCACTCCCCGCCCCCGGCTGCTCATCCGTCATCCCCAGCTGCGTGCTGTCTGTGACAGCGTCGTGATCTAGCTGCTGGGTGACTCATTCCCCGCAGCCACCCGGCTCCTAACGAGGCACCCACCATGTTGTTGTGCCTTTCACGCCCAGGCATTTGGCTGGCACCTGGCCGGTAGAAATCCTGCCGAAACAGAGTCACAGAGGGCCCTTGGTCTGGAGAACTCTATCTTGGGTGTTCTGTATCTCAGTGTCTTAGGGAAGGGGGTGCAGAGGAGCCTGGGTATGTTCACCTGCCTGCCTGCTGCTTCCAGCCATTCTACACAGCTCCCCATCTGTGCTCACCACACACTGTCCACCCCCTCTTCCACCCTTCATCCACCTGCCTTCCTGCGACTCATTTGTCCACGCATCCACCCACCCTTCTTGTCTTCTTTCTTGCCCCTCCCCTTCCTCCTTCCCACCCTTGCATTCAACCTACCACTCATTTACCCATTCTAACAACATCTTTGCCCATCCTTCCCTCCATGTACCCACTCTCACCCTGCCACCTAGTCTCTGTGTCTGTCCACTCAGCTACCTGCCTGTCTACCGAAAGGTCCTCATACCCCTGCTGGGTGTGTGGACCCGTGCTAGATGCAGGGGACACAGAGATGACTCAGCCCCAGGCCCTGCCTCATGGAGCACCTGGCCTCCCCAGGGAGAAGGCTGTACCAGCAAACTCTCACCTACAGAGAGACTCCCCTAAGGCAGAAAGGAGCACATGGCCAGCAAGAAGGCTGCCCAGAGGAGGAGGCACTAGGCCATTTTGATGGCGTGAGGCTTCTGTCTTAGGGTGACAGTGGCATTTGTACAAAGCTGTGTGGATGCTGGGCTGGGGTTGGAGAGCTACAGCACCGCTGCCCAGCCGCCTCAGGGTGGGTGGGGTGACATCTACGGAGGAAGGCGGGGGCTAGACGCAGGGCCTGGAGCACTGGGAGATGCGATGGACTGACCCAGGGTCTTCCAAGCTCGCTTCCTCAAGCCCCATCCCAGCCCTGCTTGCCCCAACATGGATGAGGAGGAGACAGATGGAGGAATGCGGGGTGGGAAGCTCCACAGTGGATCCCATCTTGTACCACACCTGGCACCGACATCTGCACCACCTTCTGGGGGTGGCTGGGTGTCTACTAGGCCGGGGTGCTCCTGGGTGTAGGCCAGGTCTTTAGTGAAGGGCAGTGACCTGGTGGGCCATAGCCACTCAGCAGGCTCACAGCCAGCGCCCCCCCTACCCCTGGGCTCTCTGGGCTAGTGTCTCAGCCCTGAGCCGCCGCAGCCTCCACAAGGCTGAGCTGTGAGAAGCAGAAGGGTGATCTAGTGACTGATGTCAGCACAGAGCCACACATACTGCTCAGGCCAGGGGTGGGATCCAGCTCTATGTGTGTCCCCAGTGCCCAGTGCTCACTGGTACCTGTGGTCCCCTCAGCCTCACTTCCCCATGACTATAGATTTCTTTGTCCTCCTGTGTCCAACCCTTTGTTGGCCTGTGCTAGTGCTGTGTTTCCTCTACTCTTTCAGCCCCCGCCACTACCCTGTCCTCCAGGAGGCAGCTGTACAGCTGGCCCCTGTTCCCCTGTCCCCCTTTCCTCCCCTTCCTTCCTGACAGAGTGGCAGCTTGGGCCTGGCCTCTGGGACCAGGGCTGTCTGGTCCCAGCCCCCAGGTGTGTGAAGGGCAGGGAAGCATCAGCTGGGTGTGCGGGTTAATAGGCATGCTGACCGTGGGCTTGCATTGGGTGCTGTCTCAGGAATTAGCCAGCACTGGGAGGAGCATCACCCCTGGCCAGCAGGTCCCCTCAAGATGTCAGAACATCAGAAAATACAGAAAACTTTAGAATAACTCAATGCACTGTGTTCTTCACATCTCAGACTTGACCCTGCTCCATCAGATAAGCATTTCACAGCAGCCTGCCCCATGCTGACCCTAAATCTGCAGCTGTCTCCAGCCAGCCGATGGCAGCTTAGTCCTTTAGGTCCCCAGACAGACTCCCTGGGGTCAGCCTGGCCTTTGTGTTTGCTCTCCAGTCCCCCTCTAAGCTGTCTGCAGATCCTGGCCTGAGACGCTGGCTTCTCCCCTGAGTCACTGCACAGCCCCTGCAGGTCTCTGGAGCAAAGCGCGGCCCCTAAACAGCACCAGGCACATCCCATTGAGCAGCAGTCCACTGGCTGCGCCAAATGCCTCCAGGGCTGTCACTTAACCCAGATGAACCTGAAGCCCTCGTGGTGGTGTCTGGGCCCCCAGAAGCTGGTCTCATTCACCTCCCACCTCCTTCGCTCACTGCACCAGTAAGGCTCATGCCTGCCCCAGGGCCTTTGCACCCATGGCCCCATTTGTCTGGAAAGCTCTCTGCCTGCCTCTGCACCTCACTCTGTCAGATGCCTGCTGTCCTCTCTCCCCACTCAGGGTCTTGTCTTACCAGAGTGCTGAGGTGTAGCCTTCCTCCCACTTCTAGCTTCTGAGCAGCCTCCACAGCTTCTGCCCCTTCCTGTCACATGTTTGCTTCATTGCTGCAGCCTCAGTTTCCAGAACATCTGTACAGATGTGTTGGGGGACTGAATGGCTCAGGGTTTTGCACAGGGGCGTGTCTTTCCCAAATAACTGTGGAGCAATCTTTCGAAGATTTCTGTTCAGCTCCTGCAAGCTGTGCATGTCTCGTGTTCGGCTCCTCATCCTCTGCTTCTCCCTCAGCTCTGCTGTCTGGCCAGCTGCCCCTGAGCCCTGCCCAAGTCGAGGAGAAGCTGCTGTCCAGCCCTGTGGTCCAGCAGGACATGGAAGCTGAGAAGCAGCTGATCCGGGAGGTGAGGCCTGAGCTGACGGGAGAAGGAGAACAGGGCTGGCAGGTGGGGCTGGGGCTGAGTGGGAAGGGGAGGGCGCTGCCCATGGCCCCGTGTGGCTGGGGGTGGTGGCAGCTGCAGCAGCTTTCCCATCCCATTGGCACACTGTCCCCCTTGTGCAGCCGTGAAAGCTGGGGCTTAGAGAGATGCATGCCGTGTCGGAGGTGGTGACCATGCCTGCCTGTAATCCCACCACTTCGGGAAGCTGAGGCAGGATTCCTACTTTAAACCCAACCTGGTAGCTTAGGAACTTAGTGAGATACTTCTTAAAGTAAAAGCAAAAAGAGCTGAGAATGTAGCTCAGTGCAAAGGCCCTGGCTTGGGGACCACACACACACACACACACACACACACACACACACACACCCCATACAGAGGTTTCTAAGGCATGTGGTAAAGAGATTCTGAGTCAGGATTTGACCCCAGGTTCTTGGCTTCAGACTACAGTCTGTGCCATGTCGGGGCCCACCTGTTGAGAAACAGAGAGGGTGCCGTCCTGGTCAGAAACAAGGCTCATCCTCAGTGTTGAAGGCAGGGCTGACTGTGACGGATGGAAAGGGCAAGATGTCCCGGCCTTCGGAATGGCCTGGGCAAAGGTGAGGCACTCAGGCTGGAGAGGAGCCAGCAGGACAGCCCTGTGCCGTGGGGTATATGATGCTGCTCTGGAAAAGCTGTCACTGAGGGGCCCTGGGTCCTCTCCAGCACTCCTGAGGAACCTCTGGGCAGGGAACGCAGTGCCCAGGTGTGGAGCTGGCTCCCACAAGGACTTGCATGGCCAGGTGTGGCAGGGCCTCTGAACTCCCAGCCTGGTCTCTGTCCCCACTCCAGGGTCATCATGCCAGAGGCTCTGCCCTGGATGGCTGCATCCTGAGACCCAAGCCTGTATGACCTTGACCTTTGCGGTGCCCATAGGCAACTGGCTTTTCCTGATGTTGACCCTGATGCTGCTGCACTGGGCAGACAGGCAGTAGCCTGTGTGTGCCACAGTAGGGCTGGGTGTCAGGACCATCTCTGGAGCTCTGGGCCTATCCCCCAGGGTGATAGCAGCCAGGAAGGGGTCTTTGAGGATGGCGGAGCACAAGGCCACAGAAACCAGAGAAGTCCCAGTGGTGGGGCTGAGTGAGCACAGAATCACATAACAGCGGACTTTGGTCACATCTGACAGGGGAGCAGAGGACTGGATAGGAGCTGGGATGCAGGCCTGGTCCACAGTTGAAGGCGTGGTCGAAGCGCAGGCTAAACCCTGGCTGTCCAGTGAGTGTGGTAACACCGCCCCCTGGTGGTCACAGGGAGGCACTGTTTGGGCAGCGAGCTGTGGGGCGCTGGATGGCAAGGTCCCTTCTATCCAGGAGACAATGGCACCCCATCAGCATGCTCAGCCCAAACTTGTCACCCTGACAGTCCCTTGCTGGCCCTGGGGTTTCTGCTTGGATGGTGGGTTGCGGGTGTCTGTCTCCCTCCTGCTGCTTGCTGTCTCACCAGGGTCACATTCTGGAGCGGCTGTGGTGACCTGGGGCCGTGCACTCTGTCCCATTCCAGAGCAGCGCAGCGGGGAGAGCTCAGTTGTAGGGCTGCAGAGAAGCTCGGCTCTGGCTAGGAGTCTGTCCTGGAAGGTTTGGGCCAAGAGTCCCCCAGGGGCTCTCCAGCTCAGCCATTCTCCCGTCGCAGTTCAGTCAGGCTGTGTGGGCCTCACTCCCTCTCTGTGCAGTGTCTGTCCTGGCAACTTTCCTGTCACTCATACAGACTGGACGAAGGTGAAGCCCAGGGCCATGTTGCCTTTGGGAGCAGGGGGCACGAGCCGAGCTTGTGCTGTGCCCCCCCAGTTCAGCCCTGAGCAGCCGCCAGTTGCCCTAGGGAGCATGGTGGCGGTGGGGTGATTGCTTTGATTTGGGGGGGATGGACGTGCTTTGTAGAGGGCTTGGTCTGTGGCAGAGGGAAACACTGGCTTGAATATGTGATGGGCCCTCAGTGGGGTGGCCCAGCTGCAGGTGGCTCTGGCGCAGCACACAGGAGGGGGCTGTCACAGTCACTGGTGAGTGGGTGGCAGTGCCCTGCGGCTTCTGTGTTCTCTGTGAGGAGGAAAAGAGGCGATATGGGGAGGGGGAATGAGGACCGGGAGGTGTGCTCCGCACAGGAAGGGAGAGAGGGCGAAGATGCTGCCTATGTGTATGCACACGTGTGTGCTCAGGGTGTGTGTGCTAGGTTGTGCTAGAGCACTGAAGTGGTGGGCTGAGGCTGGGGTGTCACCGGGTGTCATGGGGCAGGGTTGTGCTGGTAGGGAGCAACTGAGGGAGGGTGGAAGTGGGATGGGGGCAGAGACCCAGCAGATGGGCCTGACTCCCTGGCTCCCTGGCTCAGAAAGCTGCCTGGTGCCGGCAGCTGGCCGACCCCAGGCGCTGCAGGTCTTAGCAGAAAGCTGGTACTTGTAGATGAGTTGACACCCGCTGTCATGAAGGTGCTGACAGCATGCCTAGCATCAGGTGCAGAGAAGAATGGGAGCTGAGGAGAGACAGATCCCTCTCAAGGGCGGGGCTGAGCCCAGGCTTGGGGAGGAGCTTGCGAGAGAGCCAAGGGGCCTGAGCAGGGAGAAGGAGGGAGAGCCTGGGAGGGGCAGATAACCAGTGGCTCCAAGTGTGGCAAAAAATGCTGGGAGGTCTGGGCTGGGGAGGAGGGGGGGAGGCTGAATGGTACAGTGCTTCCCCAGCATATGGAGGTCCATCTCCAGCACCGCCAGCAAGCAAAGGGAGGAGGCGGCCATGGGGCCAGGGGGCCCACATCTTGGGGGCGCCAGTCAAGTCAAGGAGGTTAGATTTTATCCATGAGCATGAGGGGTCACTGGCAGAGCCACAGCAGTGGAGGCTGTATGTGGGCAACAGTTTGGAGCAGGAGCAGGCGTGGAGGTGGGACCGAGCTAGAGGCAGGTGGGACAAGAGCCAGTGGGACAGCAGAGATGGAGAGGAGGGCCGAGGAGCAGAAACATGATGGGCTGAGGATCAGGGGACGCAAAAATGCATCTGATGCTAAAAGATGCTTGTGACTTGGCGTGACATGGAGAAACTAGATCGCAAACAAGTGCACACTCATTAGTGCGTTACAGAAAGCGCAGAGAATGGTCATAATCCCAGTGGTCATAGGGGTGCACTGGGATTCCAGGACCCAGGGAGACTGAGGCAGCAGCATCCCAAGTTGGGCAACTTAGTGAGACCCTGACTGAAGAACTAGAAAAGGGACTGGGACTCTGGCTCCACGGGAGAGTGTGCAGGCACACACAGGTACCCAGGTTCCATCCCTAGACAGCAGATCCACGTCAGACCCACCCAAAACTGCACAGAGAAGGCCCTGACAAGCAACGATAGCCACGTGGCCTGGGAATCTCAGTTTGCTCAGGCGCGCTTGGGTTTTGGGGATCATCTGAGCAACCAGACAAGAACACTGGCAGCCAAGGGCTGAGCAGCACAGCCGTAAAGCACTGCCCTGGGTCTCCCCACCCATCCAGGAGTACGAGGAGCGCCTGGCCCAGCTGAAGGCTGACTACGAGGCAGAGCAGGAGTCCCGCGCCAGGCTGGAGGAGGACATTACTGCCATGCGCAACTCGTATGACGTGCGGCTGTCCACGCTGCAGGAGAACCTACGGAAGGGGACAGGTGGGCACTGCTCCGGCTGCAGGAGGGGCCTTGGCTTTAGGGCTGATGTGTACAGAGCCCCGTGCCCATTGGGCCTGGGTTTGTGCCTGTTCAACCCTCAGGGCAGCCCAGGGAGATGGGCACCACCATTACCCTCCTTTTTTAGGTCAGAAATCCACAGGGTTATGAATACTTGCTCATGTTATATAGTTGGGGAAGTGGAGGCAGGATTTGAACCCATGCCCTGTGGCCCCAGAGAGAGCTCTTGTACATGACACTGCAACCCAGGGCTTGACTCCAGCTGTGCCCACTGCTGGCTGGCTCAGAGGTATGAAATGTCACCCTTGTTTGAGAGGAGGGTCCTTGCCCCAAGTTTCTTTGTTTTCTGCACTCTTCTCTCTCTTCTGAACCTGTTACCAAAGCAACTGCATCCCATGCCCACTCACTCATTAGCAAGAATGTTTGTGTGGAAGCAACTGCCACCTTTGTCTGCTTTGAGGCACGATCTCCCTGTGTAGTTCAGGCTGGTCTTGGACTCTCTATGCAGCCCAAGCTGACCTCAAAGTTGTGATGGTCCTCCTGCCTCAGCTTTCCGAGTTCTGGGGTTACAGACATGCGCCATCATGCCTGGCACCTGCCATGCTTTTGATGGCGCAAGTCTAGGATGTGTCCTTCGAGAAGCTGTGCTGCTTGGTCCTGCGCCCTGCAGCTTACCTCCGCTGTTGCAGGGAGGACAGTGCCCAGCACAGTGTCAGCACCTCTGTGGACCTTTCTGTGTGCTGGGCAAGTGCGGTGCTTGGCCAACACCCCGTCCCCCTTCAGCCTCCTGCATCCAAGATAGTGCGGTTCCCTAAACCCTCACTTAACAGGTGTGGATACTGAGGCTGGGAGAGGTTGAGGCCGCTTTTCCCCTCACTTCAGCAGCGGGAGCCTGGACACTCCAAGGGTAGCTGGGACATGGGGAAAGAAATAGACAGGATGTGGAGGGGTGGCTGAAAGCCCTGAGCAGGAGTCCTAGTGACCCCTGTGAGCAAAGTCTAGAAGAGGAGAGGGCGGCCTCTGGCATTTTCTTTTTCCCCTCCCCTCCCCTCTCCTTCCTTCCCCTTCCCTTCCCTCCATCTCTCCCTCCCTCTCTCCCTCCCTGTCTTTGAGATAGAGTCTCACTGTGTAGTCCAGGGTGGCCTTGAACCCACTATGCAGCCCAGGCTGCTCTCAAACTCATGGTGATCCTCCTAAATGCTGGGTTACAGGCGTGGGCCACCATACTTGGTGGCTTCGGGTATTTTTTGTCCTTTAAAGTAGCCCCTCCAGGTTGAGTATCGGACCTCGCAGTGAACTATATGTGGTCTGCGTAGCTCTGATGTGGGCCATGGCGTTCATTTAATGGGCAGCTTCTAGCATGTTCTATGGCCAAGAGCCCTGAGCCTGGCACTTCATCAGGGGCCTTGGCTGTGAAGATCGTAAGATCCACAGGGAGCCTGCTAACTGGAAGAGAGAGTGGCCCCAAGGCAGGACACTAAGGACCTGGCACTCAGTGGCTGGGGAGGTCAGCTGCAGAGGTCCTGTGCTGGTCAAGGAAGACTTCCTGGAAGAGAAGGCAGGGCTTGTGTTCTTTTTTTTTTAAATTTTATTTATTTATTTGTGTGTGTGTGTGTGTGTGTGTGTGTGTGTGTGTGTGTGTGGCCAGCTCAGCCCACGAGGGGGTGGGGCGGGCTGGCATGTGGTGCTCAGGGATTGAACCACGGTCCCTGTGCTTTGCTAAGCTTGTTGTAAGTAGGTGCTTTAGACCACTGAGCCATCCCTCCAGCCCCAGGGCTTGTGTTCTGATGAGGCAGGGATGGACAGCACATGGGGGGACTCTAGGGATGCTGGGGAGGCTCTGGCTCTAGGTCGGGCAGTCCTCTCCCGCTTCTGCTTTAAGAAGCTCAGGTGGCTGGCCAGATAGCTCAGCGGATTAAAGCAACTGCTTAGGCAGACACAGGGGCTGGGGGTTCGATCCACGGGCCTGCTGTGCTGGACCCACCCCTGGGGCACGCTGAGATGGCAATTGAGACTGGGCGTAGTGGCGCACTCTTGTAATTCCAGCACTTGGGAAGCTGAAAAGCAGGAAGGATCACTACGAGTCTGATCTGTGTAGTGAGACTCTGTAGACCCTGTACTAAATACATGAAAGAAAGAAAGAAAGAAAGAAAGAAAGAAAGAAAGAAAGAAAGAAAGAAAGAAAGAAAGAAAGAAAGAAAGAGAGAAGAAGCTCAGGAAGTCCTCCTTTTGCAGAGGCCGTTCTGAAAGCGGAAGTCCTCCACCATGCCGAGGTCCTGTCCAGGGCCGAGTTGGCCAGCATGCCTGAGCATGCACCCACTTTCCAGTTCAAGACGGCCGTGAAACCCGCCATCTCCTCCATGCCTGGGGATGCCCTGCCCGAGGACGTGGTTTCCAGCACCCGGCTTTCTCCCAGATTGGAGGAGCTGCGCAGGGCTGAACCTTCCAAGTCTGAGATTTCTCTCCACTCCAGTGAGTCATCCACGCTGGAAGAATCCTCCATGTCTGAGGTCCTCCCTGCACCTGAGGAGCTTTCCAACCTAGAGCTCCCTGGGCCCGGGGTGGGGTCCCAGAGCAAGTACTTCCTGGATGAGGACCTTGGCCAGGAGGACTCTGGGACCGGGATGGAGGATGAGAGCTACGTCCGGGTGGAGGAGCCACCACTGGTGCCCCTGCAGATGGGACCAAGCCTGCAGGACCCGTTTGCTGAGGTAGAAGCCAAGCTGGCCAGACTCTCCTCCGTGGTGGCCAGGACAGATGTGCCCCAAGTCCCCATGCAGGTAGCTGATGCCATACATGATGCCATGCAAAAATCCAGCAGGCAGAGCTGGCTGGGGCCGAGGTCACTATGTGCACACAGGATTTCTGGCCTGCTGCTCCTCAGTGCCTCCACCACTTCAGCCATGGCCCTGGCCTTGGTGGCTGGCTCAGGGGCACTGCGCAGAGAGTGGGAGGTTTCTTGGAGACCCCAGGGGCCTCTGGGCTGCAGCCCATGCCTTCCTTCCTGTCCACTGCCAACACCTTTTCACTTCTTAGCTCGGTTTTATGTTTGAAGGAAATGTTCCTCTCATCCCCATTTTGTTCTCTGCGCTTTCCTTTTTTATTTTTTAAATTTTATTTATTTATTTATTTATGTGTGTGTGTGTGTGTGTGTGTGTGTGTGTGTGTGTGTGTGGTCAGCTCAGCCCACCAGGGGGCGGGGCTGGCTGGCATGTGGTGCTGGGGGATTGAACCGCGGTCCCTGTGCTTAGTTGCTAAGCTTGTTCTATTTATTTCGGGGATTGAACTCAGGCCCTTGCGCTTGCCAGGGAAGCGCTTATTCCACTGAGCCATCTCCCCAGCCCTCTAAGCTTGTTCTAAATAGGTGCTTTAGACCACTGAGCCATCTCACCAGTCCTCTGTTTTCCTTTTGAGAGAAAGAGAGAGAGAGAGATAAAGTGGGGGCCAGAGAGATAGCTCAGTAGAATAAGTGCTTGCCTGGCAAATGCAAAGGCCTGAGTTCAATCCCCGGTTCCACCAAGAAAAAGAAAAAAAAAATGGAGAGGAGAGAGAGGAGCACAGGTCTTTGGAATCCAGCTCTATCACTTAATTGTGAGGGGGCTTGTGGGTTAGCTCAGTTGTTTAAAGCACTTGCTTGGGCAAACTCAGGCGCGGGGGACCGCAGTTTGATCCCCAGCTCCACGTGCCACACCAGACCTGCCCTTAAGGCAGCCTGAGCCAGCCAAAGTGGGAGGGGGGAAGGAATCCTTATCACTTAATTGTGTGATCTTGGGCATTGGCCTCTCGGTTTCCTCTGCTAGAAGATGGGAAGATGGGAGTGTCGTGCGTACCCCCAGGCAGGGTGCGCCCAGGACACCACATGAGCTGGCATGTGTCCCGTGGGCCTCCTCGCCTCCTCAGCACTCCAAACGGTGATGGGTAGAGGAGGCTGTGGGTGATAAGCAGTCCTGGGGAGCTATGTGTGTGTGGGAGTCAGGACAGTAGGGGGAGAGAGGAGGCTTCGGGGCCCAAATGCTCCCCCCTCCATCTCCCCCAAGCACACCTCCCTGACAGACCTGTTGGAACCTAGTGACCCCAGGTCCGAAGCCGAGGTGGCCGCCGACCTTCCGCCCTGCACTGTGAGTTTTTCCCTGGCTTGGCTCTGCCCCTCTTCCTATGAATCTGGCTTGTTCCTTCTCTATTTGGGTTCAGTTTTCCTGTCCACAAAACTGGAAAAACAGCCCTTGCTTCCCTGGGCTTGTAGAAGCTGGTCTGTGTCCATGTGATGTCCAGACTGGGGGAGCTTCCGCACTGTGACCATAGAGTCCTGTTGTTGTGGGTGGTGACTTCCTGGCCCTCCTGACCTTCAAGCCCTTCCTCTGAAAGAACAGGGGCCCAGGACATACAGAGGATGGGGGCTGTAGACCTTGTTTGGACTCTGCTCTCTCGGAGCCCACCCTTTCTCTTAAGACAGCAGGCAGGCCTGGGGGAGGGAGGAAACCTTTGAATCTCCCCACCCTGAAGGAATGAAGCCTCCCCCAACCCCCCGCGGGTTGTCACCACAGGCTCTCAGTAGACGCAGGGGAGCAGCGAGAAGCTCTGGCTAGAAGGTGGCAAGGAAGGTGGGATTCAGGCAAGAAGGAAAGGCCTGGAAGAGCAGCCGGGGCCCAGGTCCTGGGGCTGGGAAGGTTTTGACTTTCTGGCGACAGAGAGGCCAGCAGGGTAGATGAGTGACTGCCAGGAAAGGCTGGGAGAGGCAGGGGGCAGGGGCAGCTGGATTTCCCTGGGGATTAATTCCCTGTGAAGTCACAAAAGTGTGTAATTAGGAAAGGAGGTTATGGTTGGTTTACATTCTAAGAAAATTGCTCTGACTGCCGTGTAGAGACTGGGAATGGAGGAAAGGCCAGGAAGTTGGGGGGCCATTGTGGGGGTGTTGGTGGCAGCAAGAATTTGTTTGTATACAATTTTTTTTGACTGGGTCCAGGTCAAGCATCCCTGGTTAGAAATGCTTGGGACCAGTGTTTTAGATTGGAATTTTTTAGGTTTTGGAATATTTGCCTAGATTTTAACACTTGAGTATCCCTAATCTGAAAATGAAAATCTAAAATGTCCTGATACCCCAAATTTTTGAGCACTATGAAGCTCAAAATATGCAAATTTCAGAGAATTTTGGATTAGGGATGTCGGCCCTGTATCTCTAAGTGGGAGATGCTCTGTGTCAGACTTTGATGGGTGGCCTGTCCCCTTCTAAAACTGAGGCCACCTTGAGCTTGTCTCCACCAGTGGCCTTGCCATCCCATCTGGGTTTCTCCCTGCATCTAGGAGGTTGATCTGGTCCTGGAAGTGGTGGAGGTGGAGGTGGCAGAGCCGGGGAAACGGATGGAGGCCGAGGCGGCCGAGCCTCAGCCCCTGCAGGCAACCGCAGGTGGGCGAAGGGAGAGCGTGGGCGTGGATGTGGCTGTGCTGACGGAGGAGCTGCTGCCCGGTGTGAACCAGCAGCAGGTGCTGGCCCGGTGAGCACCAGAGCCCGGTCTGGGAGTCCTGCAGTGGGGCAGGGGGGGAGCTGTGCCCCAGTGCAAGGGTAGGTGGGACAGGACTCTCACTTCTTTCTCACTCTCCTGCTGAGCCACACTTGCAGCTATGGCAGGGGCAACTCTACCTTCTCCTGGGTGGCACAGGTCACCACAGGTGTGACTTGCTGGGTGTTTGGAGTCCTGGCCTCTGGGCTCCAGGAATCCCTAGGGCAGGGTACCATGGACATTCCTCATTCCTTGGCCTTCAGTGCCCTCTGTGATTAAGATATACCTGCCCTAGGGACAGGGCACCCGGAGGATGCTAAAGACCTACTGGGGAGCAGGGCTTCTCTTGCTTGATGTATGGCTTTGTGAAACAGTGTTCACTCCCATTAGGGATAAAGTCATCCAACCAGCAGTGGTCAGCTAGGGACCCAGCCTCCTCCCACATGGGGAAGTCTAGTTCAAAACAAGCCACAGTTCAAAACAAGCTATTGTGCCCAGGAGGTGCTGATGAATTGGGTGATACCTAGGCCTTCTAGGGAACCGTGACTGGGGAGATGGACACTCGAGCTGGGGAGGGCTGGCTGCAGAGCAGTGGAAAGCCCGGGGCTCCTATCCCACCTCCTCTGCAGGTGCAGGCTGGCTCTCCACCTCCGTGGGCCTTGGCTCTTCATCTGCAAAATAGGTGTCGCAGCTGGGTCTGGCCCGGCACCACGCACATGGAGGATGCTCAGCCGCTTTGGGCCTGGGGTTTTTAAAAAATTTTTTTAAATTTTTATCATGGGGTCAGGAGTGAAGGTTGGGGAAGGCTTCCTAGAAGGGTGGCCCCTGAGCAAGGTGTGCAAGCCATGTACCTTAGCGGTGGCATTTTAGCAAAGAGCAGGGGGGTGGCCTCTGAGTTAGAATTTTTTTTTTTTTTTTATTTTAGGACAGGGTCTACAGGGTGTTCAGGGTCTCACTACTAGATCAGACTCGTAGTGATCCACCTGTTTACAGCCTCCCAAGAGCTGGGATTACAGGTGCACGCCACCACGCCCAGTCTCAATTGCTGTCTCAGCGCCGGCATGGCAGGTCCAGGGATCAAACCCCGGGACCCTGCTCCTGCTTACAGGTGCTTTAATTCGCTAAGCTATTTGGCCGGCTCTATAGAATTTGGAGTTGGGATTTGGCCTGGAGTGGGTTGGGAGCCGCTGGCACAGAGGGAGGTGAGATGGAGAAGCCTGGGGGTGAGGGTGGGGCCTTGGGGCCTCTTCTGCCTCCTGATGGAGTGTTGGAGAGATGTGGTGTGGCCGAGGTCTCCCTTTGCCTCGGCTGCTTTGGAGCTTGGAGCGGAGCCCACAGCTTCGCAGAGCCTGTGGCTGGGTTTGCAGATGCCATGCCCACCCCTGCCTGACCTTCACCGCCTCTTCCAGCGATGCTCAGTGCTTCTTGTTATCAGCTCTTCCACTCCTTTGGAAAGAGGCAGAGCCTGAAGCACTTGGGGCGCACTTTACTAGGCAGCAGGAAGTCCCACAGGAGCCTTCCTCTGTAGTTATTTAAAATGTGTACCGTCAAAGGGAAAAACTATAAACAGTTTTTTAGTACTCTATTTAGAAATGCTGTAAAAAGTCTGCCTTATATGCCTGTGCCTGAGCACAGGGGCACTGCAGTTCCTGGGCATTTCCCACCTCATGGTGAGCAGCATTCGTGGGGCCTGCCCCTGAGCACAGAGGGCAGCAAACTGCCGCAGGCTGTGGAACACGAGGGGCGAGGGGCGAGCAGCTGGGCACTGGTTTGCTCCAGGCCTACAGGAACACTCCCCCACGCCCCACCCAGCCCGCAGCCCAGGTCGCAGGTGCCGCGTTCGGTGGCTCTGGTGGGAGCTCTGGTTCTGACCCCACAGCTAGCAGCTTCGGGTCTCTGCACCTCAGTTTACCTCTCCCGGGAGTGGGTCTGTGGGAGGGGTTTGGCGAGCTCGCGCTCCGCCCCAGAGCTTTCCGGAAGGCTCATGCTCACTGATAGGCAGATCCCGTCACTCTCGCTTTCTCCTCCGTGCGGGCAGTTTGCAGCTGTTGGAGCAGCAGGTGGTAGGCGGGGAGCAGGCCAAGAACAAGGACCTGAAGGAGAAGCACCGGCGGCGGAAGCGCTACGCTGATGAGCGCAAGAAGCAGCTGGTGGCCGCGCTGCAGAACTCGGACGAGGACATTGGCGAGTGGGTGCTGCTCAACGTGTACGACTCCATCCAGGAGGAAGTGAGGGCCAAGAGCAAGCTGTTGGAGAAGATGCAGCGGAAGGTGAGGCCTTGTCCCTGTGAGCCCAGACCTGGGCCAGACACCTGCGTCCAGGCAGGCCACGCTCTGGGCAGCGGGTCTTCACCCAAGCACTTAGCAAGCACCTGCTGTGACAGGTCAGGCTCTGTTCTGTAGTTAAGCACAGCAATCGTGCTACTGGATCCAAATCCATTTGCTTGCCTGTCTTAGTTACTTTTCTCTCATTGCTGAGACAAAATACCGGACATTCAAAGTTAAAGAGGGAGCGGGCTCCAAGGCAGGATAAAAGGATGGGCAGTCCATGGTGGACAGAAGGTAGCAGAAGCAATATGCGAGGATGGCAGCTCTAGCCCTTACAGTGTGTATTTATTTTTTAATTTTTGGGTTTTAAAAAAAAATTAT